GGGCACGGGCGGCCTGGGCGCCGAGGAGCGGCGCGCCCTGGAGCGCGAGCAGGCGCGCCACGGCGACCTGCTGCTGCTGCCCGCGCTGCGCGACGCGTACGAGAACCTCACGGCCAAGGTGCTGGCCATGCTGGCCTGGCTGGACGAGCACGTGGCCTTCGAGTTCGTGCTAAAGGCGGACGACGACTCGTTCGCGCGCCTGGACGCGCTGCTGGCCGAGCTGCGCGCGCGCGACCCCGCGCGTCGCCGCCGCCTCTACTGGGGCTTCTTTTCGGGCCGCGGCCGCGTCAAGCCCGGGGGCCGCTGGCGCGAGGCCGCCTGGCAGCTCTGTGACTACTACCTCCCCTACGCACTGGGCGGCGGCTACGTGCTCTCGGCCGACCTGGTGCGCTACCTGCGCCTCAGCCGCGAGTACCTGCGCGCGTGGCACAGCGAGGACGTGTCCCTGGGCGCCTGGCTGGCCCCGGTGGACGTCCAGCGCGAGCACGACCCGCGCTTCGACACCGAGTACAAGTCCCGCGGCTGCAGCAACCAGTACCTGGTGACGCACAAGCAGAGCCTGGAGGACATGCTGGAGAAGCAGCAGACGCTGGCGCGCGAGGGCCGCCTGTGCAAGCGGGAGGTTCAGCTGCGCCTCTCCTACGTCTACGACTGGTCGGCGCCTCCGTCGCAGTGCTGCCAGAGGAAGGAGGGCATCCCCTGAGCTGCGAGCGCAGCTGACCCACCGCACGTCACGTGGCGCTGGAGGGAGGCCAGGACGGGTGCCTCAGGAGGTGGCCACCGCAGCGAGTCCTTCGGGTCCTGTGGGGCCGCTGCTGAGGGGCCTCCCACTGGCCTTACACGGGCGAAGCTGGCCGGTTCGGCTAGTTACCCAGAACGAGTCCAGCCCTCGCGGGGGCCGGGTGCATTTGGCGACCAGTGGGGTTTTCAGGCAGATGCCAAGCAGCAGTGGACAGCCCCTAGGTCCCAGCTCTGGTGGGCACCCAGGCCTGTGCACCCCCGTGGCCACCATGGGGCCTCACTCCAGACCCCGTCTTGTTCCGGGTCTGGGAGACCCGTGGGTCTTGCCAGGGCGACACATAATGTCGGGGTAGCAGTGTTCTGTCCCTGGATCTCAGCCGGCATGGGCCTAGACTCGGAAGATGCCCAGCTTTGAGTGTGACGGCAGACAGCAGTGGCTTGCAGCCCCGCCCCGCCTGCGCACCTGCTGTCTTCTCCCCAGGTGGAGGAGAGCAGCCAGAGGCTGGAGCCGACAGGCACTTGCGGCCCTGGCCCCAAAGAACGCATCTGGACTAGTTCGGGGGTGGGGGCTTTGTCTCGTCCTGCATCCTGCGTTGACCGTCCACCTAGGAAATCACCACACCAAGAGCTGTGGCTGCAGGGAAGTGACCCCTGGGCTCTTGCATGTTGCCGCTTAACTGTGGGTTGCACCCAGTGGCTTTTATCAGAATCACCGTGGATTTAGTGGGTTAGGTTACCTCTTATGTTCCATGTTGGTGTCATTTGTCACGTGGCAGTCTAAGATTTAACTGTTTTGTTATTTAGCTCCAATGGTATTTTGGTCTGTGTTGCTTTAGCATGAATCCGTGGTAAATGTAATTCAGCGTTAGTCTGTGACTTATAAACATTGTAAATTTGTGTAGGTAAGAGTTTAAGTTAGGAGTGTGTGGGTCTCCGTATTTTTTAAATTATTTAAGGGAAGACTTTTCTATCAGAACTTGAGCTTTGTGGATTAATCTGTTTTTACAGCTTGAGTTACAGACTTGTTACCGCCTGTGTGTTTAAATGTGGAAGAATTCTAAAAGTGTCCATTTCTCTTTACAGTTTACACAAAAGTCAGTCCCATTGTCTCTTTCTGAAAAGACTTTCCTTTTAAGGCTTCCTCACGGCCATGCAGGGGCAAGTGTTTCTCACACACTCATCTGTTATGTTAGACTCTGGGCCCAAGTTCCAGGAATCTGAACCCTTGGAAGCATCGGTGAGGTTTCCCACATTCTGTCTTAAGAAAACAGGCTCTGCTGGTTGGCGTGACCTTTTGGAGACAGAAAGCATTCATGCGCACCCTCCTGGCTGATCACCTCTCATACCTAACACATCCTCAGAAGATCAGGGTTCTTTTCTCCCCATTAAATGTGAAAAGTGAGTGTTGTGGTCATCACAAAAGTCAAATAAAGAGGCTCCAGGACAGCCGTGAGCCCTTCTGTCAGCCCAGTGGTGTGTGATGCTTCACGTTCTTATTCTGGAATCTGGGTTGGGTCGCCTGGCGATGCTGCTGGTGTCTATAGTCCACTTCGGGGCAATGCAGATGTGGGGAGCAAATCTCTGACTTGCCTTTGCACTGCCTTTCCTTTGTGTTCTCAGGCCGTGGATTTTAGGAGCGGGTGTCCTGGTGCTCTTGGGCTGCCGTAACAACCCCACAGACAAGCTGGCTTGAGCAGCAGACCTGTCTTCCTCGCGGTTCTGGAGGCTGGCAGTCAGGTCCGAGTGCTCGCAGGGCCGCGCGTGCTGGTGAGGACCCTCTTCCTGGTGCAGGTGGCCACTTTCTCGCTGCGTCCTTAGCGCAAGAGAGAGCCAGAGCAAGCTCTCTGGTGTCCCTTTTTACAAGGACACTAATCGCACCAGAGGGCCCACCCTCATGACCTCAGCTAACACCAGCTCCAAATACCATCACATTGGGGGTTAAAGCTTCAATCTAAGTTTTGGAGGACACAATCATCCTAGCAGCAGTCTGGGTTATTTGTGTTTAAAGGTAGAAGAGTACCCAGAATTTGGAGTCTTGGGCCAGAAGGAAGGGAGGATGGTCTTGTGGTTGCAATTCTCCTGCCTTTAGAAGGTAGAAGCTGGGCCAGAGAGGTCCCAAGATGTGACAAAGTTCTGATTATAAGGTGACTGTGGGCTTTCTGATCGGCCGCCTCGAGGCAGGCCTGACTGGCCCTGTGAACACATTTCCAAGACAAGGATTCATGAGAGGGTCCAGGTTTGGGGACACTGGGGTGAGCAGAATGGGACCCTGCCAACTGGGGTCAGGTTCCCAAGGGATGCTGAGAACAGTGGGACCTGGTTCCTGCTGGCCATTTTCACCCGGATGTCTTGTCTGAACGTCGGGATCGTTGGAGTTGGCATGTGCACGTCTCCGTTTTTCAGATGAGGAGACAGTGCTTGGACAGACAGCTTGCCGGGGCCACATGCCAGTGGCAGAGCCAGGATCCCACCCAAAGGCTGGACCTCCACATCCCTGCCCAGCATCTACAGTCCTGCTGTAGCTTCCGGGTTTCTCTGGAATGGGCCCCATGGAAAGCATGGCGCCAATGTCCAAGACCTCCTAGTAAAAAATCTAAAAATCGAGGGCATGTCTCTTTGGAGGAGCGGGGGAGGGTCCCTGAGCGTTAGCACTCAGTTGAATCACATGGAAGTGCCCATATGCAGTCAGGTTTGACAAAAATGGAAAGTTCATATTGTTCAACGTAAATCATTAAATTTCAAAACAGAACAAACCAGACGCTGGGCTGACTGCGCATCATTACTGCGGTTGTGATGTCCGCATTCAGACCACACTTTGGGGCTAAAGGCCAGAGGCCCCTTCCTAGACTGACCCTCAGCCATCACCTTATCCGTGACCCCAGGGCCTGTGGATAGAGCCTGCCCTCCTCCAGTCCAGCTGGCAGGTTCTCCAGGTCGGGGCATCCCTCCCTAGACTGTACCTCCCACCCACTGAGGCATGCACTATGGGCTCCACACCATCTGGACACATGTGCCCTATAGACCAGGGGCTGAGCTCAGGCTCTCCGTGAGCCCAGCACCGGCCCAGGGCCCAGGTGACAGTAGGCTCTTGGGAGATGGGGAGTCAGACCACCAAACTGGTTTTTATGGGGGGTTTAGGATATAGGACCACTAACTCTTCTCCCAGCCAAACTAGTATCTCTCTTTAAGTGGCCGTCAGAGCCCACCCTTGCAGGGCATCAGGACCAGATGGGCATGGGGCATCCGGCACCACCTCAAGGGGTGCACCTCTCCTCGTGGAGGGCCCTGGTCCTGCCCCTCCCTCCCCTAAGGCCAATGTGGAGAGCCCTGGCAACAGCCCCTTCATGTTCCTGAGAAAGGAGGAAGAGACGGGGGGCATAGAGCCTGAGCGCCTTGGCCAAAGTCCCAGGGCTAGAAAATGGGAGAAACTTCAATACTGGCAGTAAAAGGATGCATCTCCCAAGAATTACGTCAAGCAAGAAAAGTCCATCCCAAAAGGTTGCATACTGGGTACCTCCATTTCCATGACATTCTTGGACGGTCATGGTTCTAGACATGGAGGGCAGATCAGTGCTGCCAGGGGTCAAGGAGGCGAGGTGGAAAGGGAGACGGCAGTTGGTTCTGGGACTGCCCCACATCTGGCTTGGATGTCCACGTCCGGCTTGTGATGTTGTCCAGTAGTTTTGCAAGACTCTGCCACTGGGGGAGACTGGGTGAGGGGCACGGCACCTCTATTTGTCAAAACTGCATTGAATTTACAATCATCTCAAAATTTAAAATTTAAAAATATATACTACAACACTAATTCTAATACAAAAGAGAGAAACGTGGGACCCGAGAGAGACTCTGGAGGAGGCAGGGCGCCCTAGGATGGCCGGGCACCAAGAAGGGACCACACAGTCATGCTGGAGAGAGTAGTGCGACTCCCAGAGGCAAGCCATGAGCCCTGTGGTGAATGGGAGTTGGTGTGGTACCCCACCATCTGCCCTGTCCCCCCCAGATCTGAGCCAAGACCTCCCCTGCCCCCTCACACCCCCCAAAAGCCTGGGTCCACCTGGTGGATCAGGGACATGGTAGGGACTGAAGGAGATGGGGCCTACAGTGTGGGGGGGGGCTCCCCTGGACACACACCTGCTGGAGGAGACCATGTGCCAACCGGGCTGCAGGTTCATGGTTGAGCCCTAGACTAGCACAGCTCCTGATGCCCAGTGGCCCTCACCCCTCCCAGCTGCATGCGCATCCCTGACCCCTCGCCTCTGGCTGGGTGGGCCTCCCAGAGCTCAGCACAGACCCTGCCTCACAGGGGCAGGCCTCCCTCTGTCCCGCATCTGGGCTGGGAGGACTGGGTCCTGCAGTGGGAGGAAGGGGCTGGCTGGGTCATGGCCAGAATCCACAGGGTCTGACAGGGATGGCCAGTGCGCCCCTCAGCCCCCACCTGACCCAGGCACCTGGTCCCCATTGTGAGACCTTTCACCGTCTGGGGCCAAGGGAGCACAGGGTCGATGGCCACAGACAGGCCTAAAGCAGGCCAAGCATCCAGCCCCGCTCAGGACCGCCGGAGGAACCATGGAGAACCGCGTTCAAAGGCACCTGGGCTGCAGGTAGCCCAGTGAAGACCGTATTACACCTAATTTGCTCCTTGGTGCTTGCACTCGGTCCCAGGGGCTTGGAGAGAGGCTTGGGCTGTTTTTCCTCCTCATAAGTATGCTCGGGGTTGAGCTGCGGGGCAGCTCAGAGCCTGCCCGGAGTCCAGGGAGCAGGCGGAAGGCCTCCTGTGTCTGTCCTAACACCAGGACCCGGCCTCAGAACCAACACTGGGCTCTTAAAGGGTTGCAGTCCAGGCCCTGGGGGTCTCCTCATTCCTGAGACCCTATGGCCCTCCACCCTTGGGTCTCCCTGCCAGGGGTTACACCCCCCCAGCCCCCACCCAGATGACCCTCCCCACAGCCTTGAGAGCTGAGATAACCCCTTCACCTGTCACCTGGCCTCTACGGGCAACCCCCTTCTTCAGGGCCAAGGTGGGCTCACTGCCAGCCGGGGTTACCCCCAGAGCTCCCCCCCTCCCCTCACACAGCCGCTCCCACTCACCCCCAACAGTCTCCTCTGACCCAGCCCCATTCCCCGCCCTTCCTGACCCCCATATCCCCTGTAGATGGTGCTCTTAGCTCCCCATCCTTCCCCAGTCCCCCTCTGAGACCCTCACAGCCTCCAGCAGAAGCCCCAGCACGAGCTTCCACGGGCACACTGCACTGACTGCTTCAGAGATTTCCCAAAGCAAACAGAACAACCCACCACCCACGTGTCCTGGGGCCCGCATGCCCCGGGCAATGTCCTCTGCTGGGCATCTCTGGAGCCACCACCCCTTCCTCCCCGAGGACCCTGAGCCTCCCCATTGTGGGGTCACACGGGAGGTTCTGCCGTGGGTGGGGCGGCCTGAGGGGTGGTAGCAGGTAAGGAGAGTGGGAGGGGGGACTGACAGCCTCAGGTGTTTGCTCAGCGCTCTGCTTTGCCCACGGCCTGGGGCTGGTGGGGATCACAGAGGCTGATGGCCATCAATGCAGGGCAGCCACTCCCAGCTCCTGACCTTCCCCTAGACCCCCGAGGGGCCCAGAACAGGACATGGGAAATGAGTGAAAACAGGACAGATGAGCAGCTCCGTGAGGCTAGGGCAGGGCCCCAGCGCCGGGGGGCCTGTTCTGGGAGGTCCCAGGGATTTGGAAGGCCATTCTGGATGCTATCCTCAGGTGCCCAAGTCTGAAGACCGGGCAGAGGTGTGGCCCTCGGTCTGAGCACCAGCAGGTGTCCAGGGGCCCATCGAGCCCCGTCCAACTGGTGGGGTCCTGGAGACAGTACCAAGCCTGAAGGGGGACGGTGGTGTCAGCCAAGTTGCTCTCAGGAGACCCGGCCTCTGCGGAGATGGGGAGAGAGTAGCTCCTGCCCCTCCGCTTAACAGAGACTTGAAGGCTTCACCTGGGCCATCTCAGGAGCGGGGGCGCGGGGGGGACCCAGGAAGTGATGAGGGTCAGGGTCTCTACAGAGCGGTCTCCACTTGGCTTGGAGATGAGAACCACCCCAGAACACACCCCCCCATCCTAGGAAAGGGACCCTGGCAGCTGGGTGGGCAGCCAGAACTGGAATCTGGGGAGGCCTGGGCAGATGGGAGCGGCGGGGGAGGCAAGGGGCAGCAGCTCGGCGGGCCACTCAGCAGGACGGTCAGGGCCCCTCCCACACACATCTGTGGCTAGCAGGTGGTGGTGCCCAAAGTAGCCTCCACACACAGGTACCCCCGTCTCCCCTGGCCCCAGGTCCCTGCACTTCCCCTGCACATGGCCCCAGGCCCCTTCTGCTACAGCCAGCGGGGTCCACCAAGCAGAGCTCAGCCGGCTGTGGTGCTGGGTGTTGCTCCAGGCCAGGGCGGAGCCAGGGCCACGAGTGGCCTGGACAGCGCGTTGCTCTGTGCAGGGGATGGAGGCTGCACCCTGGGCTGCTCTGTGCTCAGCACAGGCAGTGGCTGGCCAGACAGGAAGCCTGCAAAGACCCTCACCCAGCTCCCACCTCCACCGACCCAGGGCTGACCCAGCCTGGTGACCCGAGGAAAAGGAAATCCAAGCCTGGCCCGCTCCTTCCAGCGGCGTCCTTGGATCTCGGCGGCCCAGCCCCCATGCGGTTCTCCATGGTTCCTCCGGCGGTCCTGAGCGGGGCCGGATGCCTGGCCCGCTTTGGGCCTATCTGTGGCCATCGACCCTGTGCTCCCTTGGCCCCGGACGGCGAAAGGTCTCACATGGGGACCAGGGGCCCCTGCACCCTGACGCAGGCACCCACTTGGTCCTACAAAGGGAGTGATGGAAAGAAGGCCGAGCCAGGCTCGAGCCCGCAACAGCAAGGCCCCTGTGTCAGGCCCTCCCGCCACGGGAAGAAGGATCAGACAACCCCACGGTGAAGGCGCGTCCTGCTGTGAGCGACCCCAGGCTGCTGGGCCCGCCTGAAGGCGCGTCCTGCTGTGAGCGACCCCAGGCTGCTGGGCCCGCCTGGCGGGGAGGGATTCAGGCCTACAGCAGGGGGCCAGCAGGGGCCGGGAGGCAGGCAAGGGGCTCTAAGGAGGCTGAGTGCTTGCTTCTGGAGATGCTTTACGTCAGAAATGGAGTTTTGCTTGGCCCTCTGACACCCTTCCTGTTCGCTCCTGTTCGCGCTGCCACCCCCTCACATACCCAGGTTCAGACAGAGCAGCCTGGAGGGGCCGCAAGTGCAGCTGGGGGTCCCTCCTACCCTCGAAGCCGCCTGGGTGTGTGTGACATGCCGGCTGTTGCAAAACTGACGTTATCACACCAGAGGAACCCATGAGTCACTGCCCCGGAGCAGGGGCTGCACCCCAAACCCTCCTGAACAAAGGCCTTTTGTCCCCAAGCTCCACCACTCCCGCCCCCAGGCCCGCCCGTGCACAGGGTCAGACTCACGAGCGGGCAGACATGCCGACGGCAGCCGGAGGCAGGGTCAAGGGTCAGGGCTGCGTTCTTGACACCTGGACATGCCTCCCAGCCCTCTTGGACCCAGCTGCACGGTCTGGGCTCTGGGAGACCCGGGGTGCTGAAGGCCTCCGCTCTTGGGTCAGCTCAGGTGCCCGGGGCTAGAGCCCCAGCAGCTGGCTGACCCTGGGGCAGGACCCTCAGGTCAGGGAGCGCTCAGAGCCCAGAGGGCGCAATGGCCAAGCCCAGTCAGTGAGCAAGACCCCAGGGAGGCAGCGCCCCACCCTGCCCCCCAGCTCCTGTCTCAAGAGGGCTCCCTGGCCTTAGATCAGCGCTCTGTGTTCAGGACAGAGACCTCAGGTGAGATAAGGCTCCCTGCTGCCCGCAGTGAGCTTCTGCGTCAGGGCAGTGTGCTCGGAGCTCCTCCTTGGGGGTGAGGAATCCCTGTCCCTTGCCGCCATCCCCCAGAGTCCCCAGCCATCACAGTGAGCCCAGCTTGAGGTTCCCCGCCTCAGGGTCCCGCGGTTTTGTGACCATCAGCATGGTCCAGCCAGCTGGCCTCCCTGATGCCAAAGACCCCAAGCACAGCCATTCCCAAGCTCAGTGACCGGCTGGCCAGGGGCTCCAGCCACTAGGTCCTGGACACCTGTCCTGTGTTTGCTCCCAAGGGTCCTGGCAATTCTAGCTTAACAAAGAAAGTCCTTGCCCCAGGCAGGGATAGAGGAGACACAGAGACCACCGCTCCCAGTCAGAGACACCATCCCAGCCACTGCCAGGACAGGGAGCCTGGGGACAGGCAGACCCAAAGAGAGAAGTACAGAAACTGCCCCCCAGACCCCCGCACCCCCAGGCCAAATCTCAGTCCCTGGCCCAGGTCACAGGAGTCAGGACGTCTGGTCTGGGAGTGAGACCCTCCCAGGTGTGCTCGGAGGAACCTGGCTGGGGATAGGTAGCCACCCTTGGAACAGCCCCTGCTTACCAGCCACAGGCCCAACCTGAAGGGGTGAAGTCAGACCCAAAGCTGGGCCCTGGTCCGGCTATATGCTAATGTCCACACTTCTGGCAGGGACCCCAGGGCCCAGGTGAGGGTGGGGGGGCCTCTTCCGTAAGCCTCACCCCTACCCTGTCCCATCCCTCAGCCCCACAGAGAATCATGGTGTGAGGGAACGGGCGGCCTTCTCACTCAAAGCCTGGAATCGCGCCCCCACAACGCCCCTCCAGGCTCCAGCCCCGCAGACCTAGGGTGGGGCCCAGCTGCTAAGCTATAGCGGTTTCTCCTGGCCCCCAAGAGCACTTCCCAGCTGTCCTGAACCAGACAGCCACATTCCTGTCTGCACTCAAACCAGACAGCGCGCCCAGGGTGCTAGAAGGCCAGGCTATGGCCCGACACTGAGACACCCCTTCCCCCAGGGTCCCAAGGCCTACCGTGGGGCCAAGAGGGGCCAGTCAGTGGCAGTGCAGGGCTAGGGGATCCCAGAGGAAGCGTGCTCCCTCCCACGAGCCCCTACCTAGTAGAGCAGAGCCCCGAGCCCTGCCTGGCAAGCCCCAGGGTCAGATGGAGGTTCTGGGAAGTGAGCCCTAGAGGAGGTCAGTGAGGTCAGCCCATTACTTCCCGCTGTTCCCGGGTAGGGTTCGGGGTCAAGGGTCAACCCAAGGCCATCCAGAGCTGTGCAGCCACTCTGGCTCTGGCCCCAGCCAGACGCTCAGGCCACCCCAAAACACAGCTACAAATCCAGAGAGGCCAGGCCGGGACAAGAACCCCATCTCCCAGGCTCTCCCACTCCCTGGAGCCCCCGCTCAGGCTGGGCATCACCACAAGGGCCCAGGGCCACCTAGGGGGCTCCAGACCCCTCCCCAGGCCACGGGAAGCTTTTCAAACACCACAGTTTGGGTTGAGGACAACACGGCAGCACTGTTCCACTGAAGCAGGTCCCAGAGTCAGCTACTTGAGAATCTTCATCTTCTCCATGTGCAGAAGACTGCTTTCCCTTGTATCTGTGGGGCCGGTACCCGGGCCCTGGAAGGCAGGCTATGCCTTTGGGAGCCTCACTCTGCACCGGCCCCTTGCTCACACTGGGAGGCCAGGCTGTGTCCTTGGGGGCCTGTCTGAGCCTGGGGCCTGAACCCTGGGCCCCCTCAGCTCACGGCCCTGGATGCTGTACAGTAGCCACCATGGCCCACCCCAGCCCCCCATGACTTTGCTCCCACACCCTCAGCCATGGAGGCTCAACTGGAGACAGCACATTCCAAGGGAATTATAGCTAAGTGGCTAATGACCTCTGATTAGGGTGGCAGAAACAGGGAGGAAGACCAGACAGACCTGGAGGCAGGTGCAATCGGGCGGCGGGCCCAGGGCCCTGGCCACCTGCCCACCGTGGGCTCCAAGGGGCTGGCCTGGTTTGTCCTTCTTGTCCTCGCCTCTCATCTGTCATCCCCTGTCTGTCACTCTCTGTGGACCCTGGGCCCCATCTCTGGGTCTGGGTCTCCATCTCTGTCATCACAGTCCCCAAAGCCCATCTGGATACCATGAGACCTGCCCCCGCCTGGACCTGACCAGGTAGGGGACTGGCTGGCGTTGAAGGACCTGCAGGGGAGTGGGGAGCCCCTGGATGCAGTGAGGCCCCAGGCACAGCTGAGAGTCCGGCTGGGTGCTGGCCATTATCTTTCAGCATCCCCGTCCCCTGTTTCCCTCTGTAAACGGGTGTCCGGCATGGACAGTGCCCACAGCCAAGCCTAGCGCAGGACCTCAATAATGGGAAGTGGGAGACAGTGCCCCCTCCTGAGTTTCTGCCTCCCCGGTGTGCCCCTCCTCTCCCAACCTCCCCAGAAAGGCACCCGTGCCCCGCCCCCCATCCCCGCAAGCTGCCAGAATATCCCGCTCAGACCGGGCCGGCGCCTGCAGCCACCGCGAAGCACAGACACCCCCAACTCGGCCCCCAGCCCCTGACGCCACCCTGGGGCGACCAGGGAGCGAGGTGAGGACGGGTCATCGGCCAAGTCTGTTGCTGTGGGGGCTGGCGCCAGCCCGGCACCAGCACTCTCCTGCCTCATTACTCAGCGGGCTGCAGGGAGGGTCCCCAAGGGGAGGGGCTGGATAATGGCTCTCGGCTCCGATCTCTTCCCGCCCTGCCTCCCCTCCCTGCCCCTTGAGCCAGCGGGCAGACCCGGGAGCCCTTGTCCTCCCCGCCCCCTGCCCATCCCCGCTCAGCCTTGGAGAGGGGGCTTCAGGCCCTGCCCCCAGCTCCCAGGCATCTGTGGAGGGGCCAGGGGCCTGGCCTGGCCCCCGGCCCCCGAGGTGGGGCTGCCCGCTGAGGGCCCAGGTGCCAACCAGAGATCGTATCTCCGCAGCTCTGCAGGGGCCCGGACATCCCAAGACCAATTTACATTCTTTGGTCTGGGTTCTCTGGAGCCAAAACAGGGTGGGGGGTAGAGGGCCCCAAATCCACAGGAGCCGCAGGCACGGCCTTGGCCACCCCACCTGGGGTTTGTACGGGCCTCCGGGAGTGGAGAGGTGCCCTTGGCTCCGCCCCGGAAACGCATGCGCACTTAGCACACCGGGGGTGAGGCGCACCGCCCTCCGGGTTCACGTGCGCAGCCCTGTGCGTGGCCCCCACCCGCGTGCTCCCTGCGCCTACCCCCGCCGGACAAGACCCTCTGAAGGGCTCCCCACCTTGCTCTCTGCACCCCAGACAGGGACAGCGCACGGTATCCGGCTGCCATCTGACGCACCAACTTCTGGGACTTCTGGTTCCCAGGCTGAATGGGTCTGGGCCCCTGGCCCTGCAGGTGTTATAGGCCGCTGCCTCCAAGACTGGACATGAGACAGCACGTCCTTCCGGGGCTGCACCCCCACCCCCACCTCCACGATGACTCAGTAACCAGGCGACAGGGAGGGCTGAGAGCTCTTTATTGCTGTGACCACAGGTTTAACAGAGGACAGTGGGTGTGTGAGGGCCAGCAGGTGCTCTTGGCCCCTGTCTGGCCCTCACGTGCCCAGGAGCAGGCCGGAGAAACTGGAGCCACTCTGGATGGTGAGGGTGGTCCCGGAGCCGTTGTCCACAAAGACGGAGGCATACTGTCCAGCCTGCAGACACCCCACAGTGGGCATCACCACCCACGGCGCCCGCCTGCCCAGGGGGCAGCATATGGAGGAATGAAGCTCGAGCCCCATCAGGCAGCACCCACCCCGGGGGTCACGTGGCCGATGTCCGTCCACTCGCTGGGTTAAGCAGTGCCAGGCCAAGGCTCCTCCCCACCCATCCAGCCCTCCAGCCTCACCTGCAATTGCAGCAGCCCCTCCACATGCACGGTGAAGACCCTGCCGCGGCTCTCCAGGCCCGAGATGGCCTCCAGGGACCTGGACGCGGCGCCGCAGGGCGAGGGTGAGGGCACGTTGGCTGTGGGGCCAGCCCCCCCCCCCCCCACCGGGTACACAGCTCTGTGTCCTGCCCTCTCCCCAGGCAGGACAGTCCAGGCTTGGGCACCATCCCCCACGGCCCCCGCAGCATCAAGAGTGCCCGCAAGGAAGGCCCACTCACGTGTGTCGATGACACAGGGACTCAATGCAGATGAGCACCCGCACTGTGTCCCGAGCCCGCGGCCGCACCCTGCCCTGCAGCTCCCTGTGGTCTGTGGAGACAGGCCCAGCCTGCAGCAGCCCCCAGGGAGGACAGAGCAGAGAGGGGCGGTGGCTAGACTGCCAGGGGCGGGCCCGGGAGCTGCTGAGGGCTGGGGGAGAGTGGGCCCTGAGCGAGAACCCCCCTCCCCTGCGGGAGGTGGGGATAGAACAGGAGGCACCTCTTCAATGGGACCCAGGCCTGGGGGCTGGCCCCCACTCACCCACATGCAGGCTGGCAGAAAACTGGAAGATGGCGGTCACCGGGGCTGTGAACCGGCCCGACGCCAGGCTCAAGCCAGACCCCCGCAGGAAGGCGCCCTGGGCCGTGGGCTGGAGGGATAGCAGGTGAAGAGCCGGCTGCAGGGCCTGGGCCCTCATCTTGCACATCCAGCCTGGGGGAGGCGCCTGTGACCAACAGCTGCCCCCCCACACCAAGCAGGGCCCAGGTGGGCAGGATGGGGTGGGGGGAACCTGTGTGTCTTCACCCACCTGGGCCTCTGGGCACAGGCTCCAGGCCCGAAGGGATGGGTGAACCCTCAAGAGCCCCCACCAGGGAGGGCATCCCTGGCTCCTGGCCACCTTGGACCCCACCCTAAGTCGTGGCACATGGGACCTGCTAACCCTGACCCAGGTCACCTCCTCCCCGCCCCGCCCCCCGCGCATGGCTCCCCCAGGCGCCCCCTGGGTGTATGTGCTGGGTGTGAGACCTGCCTAGCGGTGGGGAGCCGACCCAGCACCCTGCCCCCCCCCACCGCTGGCCGCTGCTGGCATTGAGGACGGCCTTCAGCAGATGCCCCGAGCAGACCAGGGCTCGCCCCGACGCGCACTCACAGCCTGGAAGCCATGCAGCTCCACCAGCGTCTTCTCGTCCACCACCATGGGGCCCTTCAGTGCACAGTGGAAAGCCTCGGCCACCAGCCGCCCACCAGTCCCCTCAGGCAGCAACGGGCCCAGCAGCCCCAAGAACCGGCGCTCGGTGGCCTCTGTGGGGAAAAGGGTGAGGGCAGCGTCTTGGGGTTGGGGCGGTCACCCCCAGGGCCCAGGCGGGAAGAGTCCGGGACAGCAGCCTCACCTTTCAGCATCTCCTGAAACTCTCGAAGCAGGGCCTCCTGGGTGACTGCGGCACCGGGGGGTCCGGGGGGTCCGGGAGGCCCGGGGGGCCCGGGGGGCCCGGGGGGGCCAGAGAGGCCTCGCTGGGGGGAGGCAGGAGAAAGTGAGGGTCCCAGTGGGAACCACAGCCCCCCCTGCCCTGGGTTCAGACCCCGGGGCTCACCGACTTCTTGTCCCGGCCCCTGCACCGTGTCTTCGAGGCCCCCTCGTCTGGCCGCCGGACGAAGTTCAGCCATGTCATGTGGGCATCTGAGAACTCAGACCCCAGGGCCACAGGTGGCTGCAGGGCCAGGGACAGAGCTAGCGTGCTGGCCCCGAGGCCCCCGCGGGGAAACTCAGGGCCCAGGCCACCTTGGGCAGGACTCAGGGCACGCACAAGATACGTGGCAGCGGGGCACCGCAGGCCACCCTGGGGACCCAGGCCTGGACGCACGCAGCAAGGGCTTCCTCTGTGGAAGCCAGGACCTGATGTCCGGGCACCTTGGTTTTGGATCTGTGTTGGAGCACTTGTGTCCCTTCCCGCTGTGCCGGGTTACCCCCAAGCAGACAGGCACACCCATGTACACATGGGGCCAGCCGCACACGCCCCAGCAGGTGGGCGGTAAAGAGCAGGAGCAAATTTCGGTGGGGCGGTGGGGGGGCTTCCCAAGAGCTTCAGAGCCACGCCAAGCTGGGGCGAGGATGGGCACAGGCTCTGCTTTGTGCTGGGCATCAGGGGTGCGAGCGGGCAGCCTTGGCACTCCCGCCGGCCCCGCCCCTCAGGCTCGGACCCAGGCCACAGCCGGCCAGCCCACCTGGCTGTTCAAGCAAGGTCTGGGAGGGGCAGAGTGGAGCTGCCTAAGACCATGCCCCCCTCCACCCTCCAACGACCCCCTCCTAAGCCCAGTTTCTGCACCAGGACAGGCAGGAGAGGCAGGAGCACCCTAAGCCCCAAGGTCAAAGAAGGAGCACATCATGCCAAGTAAGGGGGCGTGGGCTGGGGAGAGAGTCGGCCTGCCTCTGAGGAAGTCTGCCTGCCAACAGGAAGCTCATGAAATGGGCAGGAACACAGCAGATGTTGGCCTGGCTGGGAGGGAGCCAACATCATGGGGCTAGCAGAGCCCTGGCCACTCTCGGAGCGCTGTTCCCGGCAGGGCAAGCTGAGAGGTCCTGACTCAGGCAGGTCCAGTCCAGCAGTCTGCCCTCAGTCCCAAACATGGCAAGAGCCAGGTTCCCGGGGCAGGTGCTGCCTCCCGACCCGGGAGGGCCAGGGCCTCTCAGCAGACCAGACAGGCCTCTATCCTGGGGGATGGGAGGGGCAGGAGGGTGGGGTGCCTCCCACCCCTGATCTGGGCCCCACCCAGAGAAGAGAAAGAAGCCAAGAATATTTGAATGTCCTGGTTCCTCGCATATCTGTTATCTGCCTGATCCCCTGGCTGCCACCTGCCCTAGCCATGCTTGAGGGACCCAGGAGCCTGGAGAGACAAGTCCATCAGTGGTGTCTAGGGGCCAAGGGGCAGGTGGAAGATGAGCCCACCCCTAGCAGGAAGAGCAGGGGTCCCAATGTCTGGGGAGGGCTGTCCTGGGATATGTGTCCCATGGCAGCCCCCCACCATGGAGGCCACTCCTGGAATAGAGATTTGCCTGATTGTCCCCAGATGGACCTGTGCCTGCCCCCAGAAGCTGTCGGTAGCCCACCCTTCTCTGGCTGGCAGGGCCCAAGGACTCAGTCTCCTCAGCCTGCCCATCTGGAAAATGGGGCCTCGGGCTCCAATGGGCTGCGTGGGCTGAGAGCAGCCGGGCTGGCTGCCGCAGAGACGCCCTTGGGAGGCGGGAGGCCAGGATCAAAGGCATGAGGGCTTGGGGGGTGGGGGGACTGCCCCAGCAGCTGCCTCTCCCTTTCCAGGCCTGCGGCCCCCAGGTGGGCAGCTGTGTGAAACCACCAGGCCTGTGTGGGTGGGGTCAGCGCCAAGACCCCCTCAGGAGATGCTCAAGAGGGTGGAGGACCAGGGCTGAGGCAGCTGCAGGGATCTCTTGTCTCAGAGGGGGCCCCAGGGGCCGACTGAGGCCAGAGGGACTCCCAACGACCAGAACACAGCCCGCGCCAGAGGCCATGGGGTGCTGGCTACACAGTGGGGGTTAGGGCAAGGACCTCCGGCAAGCACAGAGCCCAGGCTAGCCTTAGCCTCTCCAGCCACTCAAGCTGTGGGATACCTGGGTTCCCAACAAGGGGTCTAGAGCTCCCCCCGCCCCACGCCTGAATTAGCAACTACACCCAACGGCAGCAAGCTACTAGAGGCACGTGGGACCTGGGGCTTCAAAGGTTTCGCTGCAGCCCCTCTGGGAAGCCCCTCCCCTCCCCCACCCTTCCCCTGGGCCCGGGGGACCCAGTGGCCGCCCCAAGAGCCGCTGCTGCAAGTCCTGCCCAAAGCCCCACTGCACCGAGACAGGATGGGGAGGCCCGGAGAGCCGGGCAGGGCAGAGCCTGCGCGTGGGAGGACAGCCCAGAGCCCAGGGGCCGCCTGAAGCCTGGGAGTGTGCGCACACCCGCACCCGCGAGCAACCAGCCCGTGCGTACCTTGGGGGAGCGGAGCAGCCCCTCACTGTTGGACGCGGTGGCCGTGGGGGGCTCAGTGCGCTGGCTGGGCTGCCGTGGCCTCTTGGGCTCCCGCTGCGCCCCGACGCCCCCAAGGAGCATGACCTGCAGCCAGAGGGCCATGGCGGCGGCCCAAGCCCAGCGCATGGCGCCCAGCGGCTCCAGACCTTGGTGGCGGCTCAGCGCGGCGAGCGGGGACTCCCAGGTGTGCTCATGGGGGCAGCATTGCAGCCGGCACTCAGGGCCCCCGGGGGAAGACACAGCCCCAGGGGGCACCTAGCCGCCCCCCGTGCATGCGCAGGCGGGGCGAGCCTGGACAGCAGTAGGACGGGCACCACGACGGGCAGACGACACAAGGGACCCGGCAGAGGCAGACGCGCTCCTGAGCCCGCGGGCTGGGGCCGGCGCCGGCCTCCCCTCACATGCAGTGCCCGGGCTGCCCGCGCACGCCGCCAAATAAGCCTTCCCCTCCTCCCCAAAACTCCAAGGGGGAGGGCTCACACTCTGCTGGTCTGCCAGCCAACAAGGGCTCCCCCGCCAGCCCGGGGGCGTGGACGGGGGCGTTAGGCTGCTGCAAGGGGCTGTACCTCCCCAGGGCGCTCCCTGCCTTTGGAAACAGCCCCCACCCTTCTCCAGGAGGGCCAGCTCACCCTGGAAACTGTTAACATGAATTCACTCCACCCGCCTCCCAGCTAAGCTCCCGGCACCTCACACCCAGCCCCTTCAGGGTGGTGGCCCAGGAGGTCCCAGGGTAGGGACAAACTCCATCAGGACCCACAGCCCCATCTGCCCTTCCTACATATGACCCACCTCACTCAGCCCCTCCGGATCCTTCCAGCCCTACCACAGGCGCCCTCCAGGCCCTCTGACAGAGGCCCCCCGACCCCAGGGTCCCGGTGATGCCCGGAAGCCTGGTTCAGACCCTGCTCCTGAGAAAGGCAGGACCTAGGAAGGACAGCTGACCTACTGGGCTCCCAGCCTTGTCCTGGCCTAGGTGACCCTGGGCACTGGCCCTCCACTGGGGGTGAGCATGGCTAGCGAGGAGAGGGACTGACTGACCTCAGAGAAAAGCATGGTGGGTGGCCTAGCTGAGGGTGCCTGAGTCCCTCTACCCACTCCTCTTCTTGGGGCACAGGCCAACCCTTACAGCCTGAGGGGGTGCCCTCACCCAACCAGGCCTCTCGGCTTCCTGCTGTCCTAAGCCAGCAGGGGAAAGGGACATGTCCCCAGGCCTTTGCAATCCGGAGGTCAGCACGACGGTGAGCCCTGCCAGAGGAGCCTGCTGCCTCCACAGCTGTCCAGCCCAAGGAGAGGGAGCACAAGATTTCCCCCCAGCTGGACCTGAAAACCAGTGGGTGGGTCCCCAGAGAGAGTTAGGGCCCTTCCTTAACCACCTGCCTACTGCAGGCAACAGGATGACCGGGGCCAGCTCAAGCCAACAAAACCTTGCAGTCAGTCGCCACAAAACGGGGGCCCGGGGGGGCTGACCGCTGCCCCTCAGTGGACCAGGACTAGGAACGGTCGGAGCCGTGGCTAGCCCCCAGAGGAGCTGCTGCTTGCAGTCCAGTCTAGAGGAAGCGGGCACACTGGTCCTAGTGGACAGCGTAAGAGTCCTCCTCCCGGCACTCCTCAATTTCCAGACGTCCACTAGGAACGATGAAGGCAGACCCCAGCCCCAGACCGTGTCCGTGGCCACTACAAGCAGAGCTGCCCCAGAGACAAGCCTGGTGGGGAAGATGTGAGGAGAGTCGGCCTGGGGTCATCCGTTCCCCCCTCCCGGTTCAGGCAGAGGTGGTCGGGTCCGGGGACAACAGCGGGCGGTTATGGCGAAGTCCGAGCTCGCTGCTGGAGCCTCAGCTCTTTCGGGTGTCCAGCTGGTGAGCCGGCTCCCAATGCCTGGGTCTTGAAGGGGGCCACGCTGCAGAAGATTCCCTTGTGCTCTGCCCGGCTAGAACCCTGGATGTGACCTGCACCCACCACCAGGTCAGGAAGGTAGCCCAGGGACTCCCACTGAGCTGCTAGACCCCTCCTGCGGTGCCCAGGAGGCTGGGCACCTGACGGCCCGATCCGTCAGGGCTTCAGTGTGTCACAGAGTGCGAGGGCCAATGCACCATCTCCGACTGGCTGCTGTGTGGGCACCGCCAACTGGCCAGCCTCCAGCACGGTCCTACAGGCGGGTCGACCTACAGCAGACGACCTCTGAAGCTGGACGGGGGAGCCACACGGCAGTGGGCCTCAAACAGGCCCAGCCCCGGCTGAACCATGGGTTCTGCTCCCATCCCCAGGCACCTCGACCATCAGCAGGAAGCAGGAGCCACTTCGCTGGCCCACTGGTTCATGAGTCTCAGCCAAGCTGTGCTCTGCAGGGGGACACGGCCCCCTTGGGCTCGGGTCCAGTGTCAGGGAAGCAGCTCTCTGCTCTTCAGTGCCCCCTCCCCTTCTCCCCTGCATCCCATGGTTCCTTCCAGCGGCCAGGCTCCCCCCGTGAGCACAGGAGCTGCCTGGAAAACCACCAAAGAGACCCTGCTCCCCAGTCCTCCACGCCCTCCCTACTGCCACAGACACCCACTGCCCGTGGAGGGGAGGCCCAGGCCAGCGGCTGCTTCTCTGTACCCCGACACTGGGCACTGTCCCCACAGCAGTCTGCCCCCCATGACGGTCGCTCCAGCCTCAGACCCAGACCCAGACCCCTCGGCTGCATTTGCAGTTTCCAGTCTCAGACTTGGGCCTGGGGAAGCTTCCTGGGGGAGATGCTGGCAACGCCCTTTGCAAGACCACTCTCCACACCTCCAGGACTCCTTCACCTGTGTCCATGCAGCCCGAGTTTGGTCAGGGGCTTTCTCCCTGAATTAAGAGACTCCAAACACGGCTTGCACTCAGTGGTTCAGCTGGGACAACTACTGGGGACGCCCAACGTCCACCAGGGACTCCACACGAGAGGGAGGGGCCGGTGACCCCTCCGAGGGAGAGCAACATGGACACGGGGTCAGACGTGTAGACCCACAGGACAAGTTCATCTTTTTTTTAAGCAATCTCTACACCCAATGTGGGGCTCAAACTCACGACCACGAGATCAAGGGTCACCTGCTCTTCCAAATGGGCCAGCCAGGCGTCCCAAGGTCATCTTTCACCTTGGGTCACTGCAGACAGCTCGCCGCCTTGGACACTGGGTGAAGGCTTTGTACAGCACGGATCATTTCTACCGCTGACAAAGGGTTTTTAATAGTTGAGATTTCACATACGGCGCGGAAATAACCCACGTTAAGTAAAATATTTGCTATGTAATCTGCCTCCTCAAAACCTCAGGAAACATTAAGTGTTTGGATCAGATCCGGCCATGGACAGAGGGTAAGGCCCGGCATCCAGCACAGCAGAGGAGGCCCGGCGGAGCCCGCCCCTGCCTACCACCGCACGCAGGGGTCCAGGCCCAGCAGTGTGGCGCTGCTGCCAGGGCCCATGGCTAGTCACGGGGCGCCCCCCACAGGCCAAGCCGCTGGCCTGCCCGTGGGCGAGCCTGGCACTGGGCCGAGATGGACTTGCACTTCCACCAAGAGACTCAAACAGCACAACATTTAGGAACAAAGATATAATGAAAGATTTTTTTCACAAGAGTGGGTTAAATACACACAAGTGGTAAATTATAGAGCAATTTTAAATAAACCGATCAAAAACCAAAGAATGTCGAAGATGTACAAGTGTGTGGCTGCACTTGAGGCCGCTGTGGCCCCTGGAGTGAGATCACAGCCCCTCAGCCCGGGACCCACAGACACAGTGCTTTCAAATGATGTGCAAGTGAAATCATCAAACAGGCGCTTGATGGAAGACGTCGGCAGCCAGGGGGCCAGCTCCACCCCACCGGCCCTGCCCTGCCTGGGCAGCCTTCACTTCCCGTGATGCCCAGTCCGTGTGTGATCTTCCAGGGCAGAGCCCATAGCAGACATGGATCAGCTGCGAAAAGGAACATGTGAGCCTATCTTTAGGGTAAAGCAAAGATCTGGACCAAGTGTGAGGGGAGCCCCAAAGTGCACAGAACCTGCCTGTCAGGTGCAGATCCCCGGGGGGCTGCTAGGGTCAGAGGAAATGTCCTGCGGGCACCAGGGGCCACCCCCTGCAGCATCCGGGAACCTGGAGGTGGCAGTGGGGGGCCCAGCCTGGCACGGGTGTGGAGGCAAGGAGGTGGGGGGTGGTGAACTGGAAGCAGCCTTAGGGACCACACAGGACATGGTGGCTCTTCAAGTAAAGGGTGCCACCTTGTGGTCAGACAGCAAGCAGCTGCTGGATTTCAACTTCAGCAAAACAAAGAACCCACTTTCCTACAAGAGACTGCTTCTTTCCAAGTGAACAAAACACATTTCAAATGCTGAGGCCAAGCCCCACGTCTCCTGGACCCAAGCTGTGGCTGTCCTTGGCCAGCCCCTGGGCCCCACGGCCAGGCCCCCTGCCCCTGCCAGCTGGGCGCAGCTGTGGAAACTCCTCCTGCCTGCTGAGCCAGGGCTCCGCTGGACCAAGAATGCACGCAGAGTATTTGACAATCGAGTTTTGTATTTTTAAGTGACCAAATCTAATAAAATGAAAAACATGTTTACTAAAACAGGTCCAAAAGACGATACAGGAGATAAGCTATAAAACCAAAGCGTGAGGCCCCTCCTCCTCGACACCCAAGCTCCATGGTCCCCAACGACCCCAGAGCGAGGACAGGGAGCTGAGAATCTTGCATCTCCTCTAAATCCAAATTACACACTTTGGTTTTTGTTTTCCTTTTCAAGGTTTTTAAAAAGCTAACCCCAGGAGTCAGGCAGGTCCACCCTGCGCTCGGCGGCATGTCCAGCCAGCCCATGGCAAGCTCGGGCCCAGTGTCCCTCGTTTTTGACCACTTCTGCCGGCCGTGGCATGTGGCTCACTCCTGCGCTATGCTTCTCAGCACGTACTTGACCGTGTAGGCAAAAGCCGCAAACCCGACTATAACAAACAAGTTCGCCAGGGCGCCGCCCAGGAGTCCGTGGTGCCGGTTGGCCTGCTGGAGCCCCGCGAGGTGTGGCCCAGCCCCTGGCGCATGCCCATTGAGGAGCTGAAGCCCGTTCTGACCATGGTGTGTTTCCCCATCTGGAACCACATCTGGTAAGGGGAGAGCCTGGGGTCGGCTACTGAGTTCATCTTGGGCTTTCTGTTTCTGTTTAATTTCCTAAGATAAAAACAAAAAGAAACAACGGTTGGTCTAAACAAACGAGTTCCTTTAAGACTAGGGAGGGTTCTGGGGCGCCTGGGTGGCTCAGTTGGTTAAGCGACTGCCTTCGGCTCAGGTCATGATCCTGGAGTCCCGGGATCAAGTCCCACATCGGGCTCCCTCTGACCCTCCTCCCTCTCATGCTATCTCTCATTCTGTCAAATAAATAAATAAAATCTTAAAAAAAAAAAAAAAAAAAAAAAAGACTAGGGAGGGTTCTAAGATCCACCACAAAGACTTGTGGGGCCGGCAGTCGCCAGCCCCATGTATTCAATCCTGATACCCACTGTCGGAGGTGGGGGCTGCTGCTAACTCTGTCTTACAGATGAGGGGGCCCAGGGACTTGTCAAAATCACCAAGCCTGCACCTCTCAGGGCCTAGACCGAGCAGGTCCAAGTGACACGGAATCACCGTGGCCTCAACCTTAGTGCAGCTCACCCTGCCCCTCCTGGCCAAGGGCCCTCCCTGCAGCTCAGCAGCCCACCTGAGGAGCTCCACACCCTGACGTCCAGTTCCCTTTCCCTGGCCTCTCCAGCTCCAACCCCAGCGTCCAAGCCCCCCTGACCCTGGGCACCTGGCGGAGAGGGGCGGGGCTGCGCCTGCCAGTTAGCTCCTGCAGGTGCCCGTGGGCACAGGTGCCCTCCGTGCTGTGTGTCTGCAGCACAGAGACGCAGAGCAGCACCGCCTTCTCTTTGGAAGATTCCGATGTGCAAGGGGGTAGAACTGACTGGCAGCCTCTGTTCCTTACCTCCACGACTTCAGGGAATAATTCACCAAAGACTTTGTCTTTCAAATTAAATGCTAAACTTTGTGCAGCCAGTTGTCTTTTCTAGGAAGAAAGAGAAGAGAAATAATCAGCCCGAAGATAAACTTCAATTCTTCCAAATTCTAAAGATGATTTTATCCTCAAAAGCTGCTATCTTCACATTGTTGAAAATACTCAATAAACTCACTCTTTACAACAAACTAATTTAGTCTTATCAAGGCTTATTTTTCTTTCCATTACCATCAATTAGTAACATTAAACTTGATTCCTACTTAAACAACAGAAAAATAAAACCAGTGGTGTTGCCCGCCCCTCCCAAGACCCCTGAGGAAGCTCGGCCTGTTCCTCCCCCTGCTGATGAGAACAAGGAACCCCAGAGCAGCGAGAGCAGCGAGTGTTCCTGGGGAGCAAGGACATGAGAGGGAGCCCCCCAACACGCGACCATGCTCTCCAGCCCTCACCGTGAAGTCCGACGTCTCTATGCTGCCCAGGGTGGGGCCCTTCTCCACCATGAAGCTAAGGAGCCCTGTCAGGATGGTGGAGACAGACCAGGCCGGGTTCCACGTGTCTGGGTGGAAATCCGTGATGGAAAGACACAGCCTGAAAAACAGGGACCCACTCAACAGAGCTCACCCCAATCCGGACCCCACTCAACACTTGAGAAGCAAAAATGCCTTACCTTGTATTGCACTTAAATCTTCCATTGGGCGTTATCATATAAATACTAGGAGGTTTAAAAGGAAATTCTCTGGGAAAAACTAGTTTTCCATGATAATAACCACCTATATCAAAACAGAGAAAGAGCCCTGTCATGGTCCACAGTGCAACTCCTGTGGGGGCAAACCCCTCCCACTCAGCCCCATGCCAGCCCTCAGGCTGGCATCAATACCCTTGGCCTCCCATCCCACCCCACCCGTTCTCCCCCATCTCTGTGCCCACCAGCTGACCACCCCTGGAACACAAGAGTCTTGCTGGAGGTCTCACTGGGGGCACATGACATCCCCTCTCTCACTCAGAGCACAGCGTCAGAAAAGAAGCTGCACCGAGCTCCTCACTGGCCCCCGCCTGCCGCCCTCCCCAGCATGTCAGCGGAGGTCACCCCTAGTCAGATCCCCTCCCTCCTGCGCTACTCATTTCTCCTTCCCCACCAAACTACACCCAGCAGCAAGCAAACCTGCCATCATTTCTCCCACCGTAAAAACACAAAAAAACAAAACTCTAGCCACCACCCCCCTGGGATGCCTGCCAATGGCTCACTCTTCTTTCTGTGAAATTCCCGGAGAGCTATGCCCAAGTCCACCCTGCCGAGGCCATGCAGGCAACGCTGCCCAGACGGGTCCAAGAAAGAATTCCAGCTAGTTCCCCCAAACAGCAATTCCATCCTCTTGGGCGTTCAGACTAAAATCTGGGAGGCCCCACTGCCACCCACCCCCGGGCCCTGCCACTTCACACCTATTCCATTAGCAAATCCTGTTGGCCACACCTTCAAACTGATCCGGACCAACACTCTGGGTGACCTTGCTAGCTTCATGGCCTTCAGCCCTGCCCGCTCAGCTCCCAGTCCCACTGGCCATGCCTACCTGAGGCCTCACACCCTCTCAGGGCTGCACCTGGGAGCCTTTTGGAAATGCAGAGCCTTGGGCCACCACGGGCACGTTAAGTAGAAGTAGGACACGCACTGACGCGATACCTGGGGGTGTCTGTATGCCCACGTGCTTGCACAGTGAGGCCTCACGAGCTGCCCTCACCTCCACCTGGTCTCCCTGCTGCCCCCGGGACCCTGAGTGTGGTCCCACTTCAAAGACTGGGGCACACTAGTCCCAAAGAGCCACACATCGCTGCTCCAAAGCCACTCTTGGGTAGGGCCCCCCCACCCCCTCACAGGAGTGCGGTCTTCTACTCCAAGCTCTGCCAGTGGTGGACGGATGACATGAGCCAAGTGTCCCTCGTAAGGCCAACCCAACAGGCCAACAAGTCCACCAGTGACAAACTAACGCTATAAATGACACTCAAAATCACTAAGAAAAGAAAGCCAAACTGGGAAATAGGCAAGTGACACAAAAAAGGGCTTTTCCTAAGAGGAAGCAGGAAGAGTCAATGCATGTTTGAAACGGTCTGGCTCAGTGCACACCAGAAACGGCTGCCCCGTGTAGCTTCGGGGGGTGGGGTAGTGGAAAGACACTGCCTCGAGGCACGGTGTGCACCTGCCGGGGAAACAGAACTCTCAATACCTGCACTGACCCGGCGGCTCGACCTCCTGCGATCTACTGGACAGATGCTAGGTGAAAACCTTCCAGGGACGCCTGGGTGGCTCAGTCGGTTGAGCGTCTGCCTTCGGCTCGGGTCATGATCCCAGGGTCCTGGGATCGAGTCCCGCATCGGGCTCCCTGCTCTGCAGGGAGCCTGCTTCTCCCTCTGCCTCTGTCTCTCTATCTCTCATGAATAAATAAATAAAATCTTAAAAAAAAAAAAAAAGAAAACCTTCCACCGAGGGAAGGGCTCCATGCAGGAGCCAGGCAGAGGCAACACAGGGAGCAAACCGGAGAAGCGAACAGCAAGTTGCACGACATGCGGCAGGCGGCGCACGCAGAGCCATAGAAGCATGCCATCCTCCACATCTCGGTGCCCCTTGCAGTGCAGAAGATGAATCCTGGGAGGATCTGTGCTGGAGGGGGGCCCAGGAGGGCTCATCCTGAGAGGTGAAGAGGCCAAGCAGGGAACATGGGAGGACAGAGCGTCCAGGGAGGGCAGGGAAGCAGTCCAAGGCCAGCAGCTCCCACATCCTTCATTCCAAGTGTCCACAGGGCACGGAGCGAGGAGCACAGCCTTGGCCAAGCCCTGGGGACAGAAACTACAGAGAGCACTGTGGCCCTGGAAGGAGGCCAGGGAGAGCACCCAGCACGATGCTGCCCTTCAACACTGCCCTTCCTCCACCGAACTGCTTTTGTAACAAAGTGGGGAAAAAAGAAAAAAATCCCCAGGCCACAGCTGTGCCAGACCGTTCCTGGGTTCTCTACTGTTCCACTGACCTGCATTTCCACATTTCCCTCCAGTCTGCTCACTGAAACTACACAAGTCTGAAAAATCAAGCAGAGTGACTCCTCCCACTTTATTCTTGTTTTAGCTATTCTAGATCCTCTGCCTTTCCGTGTATGTTCTAGAATAAAAATCTCAGAATAAATCTGTGTATGCCTACAAGAAACTTTTATTACGACTTTGATAGGATTGTGTAAAATCTACAAATCAATCCAGGGAGAATCTTCAGTGACACCCACACTAGCAGGAGGCCGCTTCAGAACTGTTAGGGTTGGTGCACCTGGAGTACACTGTGCCAAGCAGACAGGGACAGGGACAGGAGCCATGAGAGACTGAGAAGGAAGGGTCAGGACACCCAGAAGTCAGAGGAGGAGCAAGTGAGGAGAAAGCCAGAGTCGATACCACTAGAGTCCACAGAACCCCAGACACTGAGGCCTGAGATCTGTCCCTCGGACTGGTAGTTCAGAGGGGTCCCTTACCGACCCAGGTGAGAGCGGTCAGCAGAAGGAAGGGCTGCAGGCTGCAGAGTGTAGCCCTGAACGGAGGAGGGGATGGGCAGCAGGGGAGGGGACAGGAGTAGGTGCTGAAGTGGGCAGTGAAGGGAGAGGAGGCAGAGTACGAGGAGGAAGAAAGAAAGGGGAGGAGGGGCAGCAGGAAAAGCTCTGTGTCTGAAGGGAATCTTGCTGGCAGCCTGAGGGCCAGAACCAGCAGGGAAATGCACAGGGGAGTACCAGACACCAGGAAGCATTCGTGACAGGCTGGGGTCTGAAAAGAGGGCACCTCTTTCTGCAGAGACAGGAGACCCCATGCTAGCCAGGGCCTGGGGGCCTGCATGCCTTCGCTCGGGGCCTGCCCTCTCCTCTCCCCGCTGCCTCCACCCCTGTCCAGGCTCATTTCCAGCAGCAAAAGGCCTGGATACAAAAATTAGTAAATGCTCACTATTTATCCGGAAAATACTAAAACTACGAAAAAATAAACTTAAAAACCAGGCACAATGCCCCTTGTGAGAGAGAGCACACACTCATGTCCTAGTGTGTCAGAAACACATATTTAACAAGCATTCTTTTTTTTTTTTTTTTAAGATTTTATTTATTTGATAGGGAGAGACACAGTGAGAGAGGGAACACAAGCAGGGGGAGTGAGAGAGGGAGAAGCAGGCTTCCCGCCGAGCAGGGAGCCCGATGCGGGGCTCGATCCCAGGACTCCGGGATCATGACCTGAGCTGAAGGCAGATGCTTAACGACTGAGCCACCCAGGCGCCCCTATTTAACAAGCGTTTTTTTTTTTTTTTTAAGATTTTATTTATTTATTTGAGAGAGAGAGAATGAGAGACAGGGCATGAGAGGGAGGAGGATCAGAGGGAGAAGCAGACTCCCTGCCGAGCAGGGAGCCCGATGCGGGACTCGATCCCGGGACTCCAGGATCATGACCAGAGCCGAAGGCAGTCGCTTAACCAACTGAGCCACCCAGGCGCCCCTTAACAAGCATTCTAACATGATCTGTCCAAACGGCCATAAAGCCCGTCTTTTGCTGCATTTCTAGGAAACCCACTGCAAGCCCATCAAGCCCACATGCCGCTGTTGGGCATTCGGGCAGTCCCCAGCATGTCACTATGAACACACCCAACCTACAAAGAGACTTCTGCACCTGTCTCCCTAGGACACATCTTCCCGTAACAGGGACTCCTGCATCAAAGGAGAGTTAGTGACATACAGGCCAAACATTCTCCTCCAGCAGCCGGACTCTTTTCTAGTGAAATCTTATGCAAAAGCCCCATGTGGAGGGACATGTCACCTGAAGTGAGGACCCAGTGGCTAGAGAGCTGAAGGTACTGCCCACCTGGCCACAGCTCTGCCCTGGGCTTGTCCTGCCATGGCTCATCTCTCACCCTGGCCTAAACTCTGAGGCTGGTGCCAGGCTCCCTGCAGCCCCCCAATGTGCTGGCTAATCCCAGGTCTACTTTGTAAATGACACCAGAGGACCCTGAGTGGCATCACCGGATCAGCCTCAGCAGCAGTTAGGAGAGCAGAGGTGTCCAGCTGACCCAGAGCAGATCCTAAGCCTCAGTGCCCCATCCACAAAGGGGCCCAACCACTTAGCTCAGAGGGCGCAGCAGAGTGAGTGCTCCATAAATACACCTTTCCTTCCTCCGACAACATTCATGCTGGTCTGAACAAACCCCGGGAGAAACTGGCCGCACTGTCCTGCTCACCCGGTCTGTCTTCCGGCTCTGATCCTACTGATGTCAGAGGCTGGGTAAACCCTAAGACTTACAGATAGCCCCCAAAGACTGAACACAACGGCAAAACCAAACACTTCTAGGACCTGGAGAAATACTGGGATGGATTCCAAAGAAGTCCAATCTCACTAATGTACATCCAAAATAGGGCGTGATTCACAAATACCAAGTGTTTGACAGGTGAGGTCTATTCAGAAGGTAAAATGGCCTCTTGTTCCTCTCAGATTAAAGACTTACCTTCATAAGGGGTCATCTCTGGGCCTCGGACCACATAGTGCCTGAGGGAGAGAAGAAAATCAGCCAGCTCTGGGGATGACAAATTCTCCAAATTTAGAATCACTCCAAGGCTGGGGTTTGTAAGGTCCAGCCAACACCAGATATTCACAAATATTCAATAGGTGAACTTCTACTGTAGATGGTGTAGTCACTTTGTAACAGAATCTTAAAGACCGTACCTTGTGAGTTTTCCACAAAGTATTTTTATGTCTACAATATGCAAGAAAGGAACCCTCTCTAACCATTACAGCCAAATGACAATTTTTCCAATGTTAATTTCACATACATTCTTGAGGTGTACTTGGAAACCTGCATTTTTCGGTGTGCCCAAGTATTACGAAGCAAGCCAAGCAGGGAACAGCTGGTGACATGAGGTGGCTCTGTGCCCCCAGCGTCGATGTTCTGGGAGAAGCAGGACCAACCTCCGAGGGCTGACCTGCAGCAGGGGGAACAGGCACAGCCCATGCCCGTCACTGAGGTCCCCGCACAGAGACTCCACTTGCCCACGCAAACAAAGAGCTTCAGCTGTCCGTCAAGAGGTGTTTGAACTCAAAGATTTGCAAACAAAACAGAAAAACACAAAGGAGAAAGTAGAACCAGCCAGAAATGCAAGACCAGACCATCCCTTCACAAACCCCTTGTCCCACAAACACCGTCTTACCGTTGTGGACCATGCAACACCCGCTATCTGCTGGATGATAGTCTGACTCCAAAAACACTGTTATCCTATGTTGGCAGACCAGGAACAACCCTCAGAGCTAAGCACGTGACACACCCAGGAACATGGCCTTAATTTGTCACTGCTCCCAATTCCGGTGCCCGATTTGAGAACACTGGGTAGGGGCAGCGAGCAAGTGCACCTTTCCCAATGCCATGATGGGAGCCAGCAGAGAACCCAGGTGCCAGTCAGTGTCAGGTGAATGGCAATGCAGAGCCTTACCATTCAAGAATATTGGAAGGGAGGGGCTCAGCACAGATATAAGGCACCGGGTCCTTCTTAATTCGAAGATAGTCCTGTTTCAGCCGCTGGGTCGCTGTTGTTGGAGCTCTTTTATTGCTGTTGCTGCTCATCTATGGAAAACAAACATTTCTGTTTACAACAAAGGAAAAGGCACGCCACTGCTTTCCTCACCCGCAGACAGCTTCAGCAGCCCCGCACTTTTGCTTTCATTTCTGCAGCCCATCATCATGCACAGTCAATCCCAGCCACCCAGAACCCAGGCCTGTGGGTTGTCCTGACTTGCCCACCCACTCAGACGCCTGCAGGACTTGCAGATTCTCCTTTCCCGTCTGCCCTGCCACAACCTTCATTTATGTAATATCAGATACAAAAATTAAGGGAAAAAAAAAACCCAAAGCCTCACTCCTGTCCTCAAAGAACCAAAATGGGAAGAAAAACATCTCTAATTTATTTCTTTTTAAAGATTTTATTTATTCATGGGCGCCTGGGTGGCTCAGTCGTTGAGCGTCTGCCTTCAGCTCAGGTCATGATCCCAGGGTCCTGGGATCGAGTCCCACATCGGGCTCCCTGCTCAGCGGGAAGCCTGCTTCTCCCTCTCCCACTACCCCTGCTTGTGTTCCCTCTCTCACTGTTGAAAAATAAATAAAATCTTTAAAAAAAAAAAAAAAGATTTTATTTATTCATTTGAGACACAGACATAGAGAGAGACAGAGAGAGAGCATGAGCAGAGGGAGAGGAAGAGAGAGAGCCTGATGTGGGGCTCGATCCCAGGACCCTGGGACCATGACCTGAGCCGAAGGCAGACGCTTAACCATCTGAGCCACCCAGGTGCCACGAAAAAATCTTATTTAAAGGGTTCTAAGTAGAGGTGTGCTAAAGCCAGCCTGGACCAGTGCTCCTGGATGTGCATATCTCTCCAACTCTGTGCTAATGAAATGTTTATACCATGGAAATCAGGATGCACCCCAAACCAGCCCCCCGCGAAAGCCTGTTGTTAAACATTTTCCAACATATCTACCGCTGCACAAAAGTGGATGGGAGGAACAGGGGAGCAGAGAAAGGGCCTCTCCCTGAGACTGGAGAGAGAGGGGACCCTTGAAAGTATGACACCCATGCTGGGAAGAGGGACAGAAGGAGCTACAGGGACTTGGGCAGCATCATGGGTCCAGGGAAGAGTACTGGGCCACTGTGTACGGAGCCACAGCACAGTAAACGGCGACTGACGAGGCTGGCCAGGGAGGCAAGGCCAAGCAGCCAAGCAGCAGAGCAGAAAGGTTTTAGGCCCAAGCCTTGACGGAGATCAGATTTTCTGTTAGAAAGATCACTTGGACATGAGGCGCCTGGGTGGCTCAGTCGGTTAAGTATCTGCCTTCGGCTCATGTCATGATCCCAGGGTCCCGCATCGGGCTTCCTGCTCATCGGGGAGTCAGCTTCTCCCTCTCTCTCTGCAACCCCATCCCCACCACTCATGTGTGTGGGCACTCTCTTCTCATATAAATTTAAAAAATCAAAAAAAAAAAAAAAAAAAAAAGATCACTTGAACAGTTCAGTGAAGGTCGAATGGGACAGATGAGATGGCATGGGAGGGACAGGACAGCACTGAAGGCTAAGGACCAGGAGCGAGGCCTCAAGAGAAGAAACATGGCCTGGCTTAGGGGGCCCTGGGACACTTCAGCTATGCTCAGAGGCAGAGGGGAGGGATGGTGAGAGAAGACACAGAGCTCCCCACCCTCACAGACATCAGCTCCAACTCAAACTGCTTTATACACTGAAGTTTCCCATAAGACAGCAAGGCAAAAAAGTTCTGCTGCTAAAAATAAAGTGTGAAAGCCACTGGTCTAAAATATGATAGAGACAGAGGACACGTAGGGGTACGCAGGAATGGAAAGGAGACAGTGGTGGCCAATCGGAGCCATACCTGTCCTGCTCTCCCCGTGCTACGGACACAGCCACTCAGCAATCTCAGCCCATCTTGCCACAGCACTGCACATCAGCGGTCAGGATCTCCACCCTGACCTCTGACCTGCACAACCCTGAAGTCACTCCACCCCCAACCCCCACCACAGTGCTTGGCCCTCCTCATCTTCCCCTCAGGGCCTCTGTGTGCTCATTTCCCTAGCGACAGCTCCATCAGGTCAGAGGTCTGTGGACTCCCGCCCCTTTGCAGGCTGAATTCCCCTCAGAGCACTAAACCCCTAGGCGACAGCCAGGGCTCAGTGTGCTCACTCTACACCCCAAGGCCTGCAGAGCAGTCCTCCACACACCACCGCACTTCTCTGGGGCCCCTAAACTTCAGGGTCTCTGTTCTCCTCCTTCTCCCGTCCCCACTCCACTCACCCTAATGCAGGTCCCACTATTGTTCCCATTAACCACCACAACAGCCTCCCAACTGGCCTCCCAGCTTCTAGTCTCACCCCATTTCTGTACACTTAAGTCAGATTAACTTTCTCCACCCACAGTTCTGATCACAGCATTTCAAGATTCCCCCAGAGCCAAGCCCTTGACAAAGAAGCCCCAGCTAGCCCCCTCCTAGTTCCCCACTCCCAAATCCCCTCCTCATCCTAACCAGATGGCTGCTTCTCAGCCTGGTCTCTACTCGCAAAAAATTCACTTAGGTTCCTCCTGGCCTAGCTCTTCTTGGCCTAGCCAAGCTAAGTCCCTCAAAAGCCTCCCTGATTTCCCTTGCCAAATGCCTCCACCAGCCTCCCTGCGATCCAGCTCCACACCACTCAGGTGCCTGCCAGGCCCCAGCAGAGATACTGGTGAACGCACAGCGGGAGAAGGCTACAGAACAGCCTGGAGAGGGATGCTTTCCCGTACAGCACTGCCCCCAAGCTCCTGGCCAAGCCAAGTGGGCCAGGCGGCTCACCCGGGACCAACACCTAGTAACAAACAGCAACAACCCAAAAGCAGAACCACCACACTGGACTTGTTTCTTTTAAATGTTCATATAAAGTCAGCACTCCGCCATACACAAAACAATTCACTGGATAATTCAAATACCACTGTGTTGGCACTTAATTACGTGGCCAGGCTGGATGCTTAATGAAGGCTACTGGACAGCCACACAAAATAAATGGATCCTGCCTGGCCAGTCACAAACGTCTCCTCTCATTCTTGCTCCCAAAGGCATAAACTTTAAAGTCACATTTATGATTCAACTACTCAGTTCGTGGAAAGGAAGGGCTCCCAACTGACCCCTCCTGTGCTTCAGTCAGTGATCTCACAGCCCCTCTAGTCTACAGCACCTACACACAGTAGGAAGCATGTCTCAAGTTCCCTGCAAATCCCACAGACAAGGCCCACAAAAGTGCATTATGCTGAACGAAACAGAGTGCAGACATTTAAGAAAAAATGGCACGAGGGGCGCCTGGGTGGCTCAGCTGGTTAAGCGACTGCCTTCGGCTCGGGTCATGATCCTGGAGTCCCGGGATCGAGTCCCGCGTCGGGCTCCCTGCGCGGCGGGGAGTCTGCTTCTCCCTCTGACCCTCCCCCCTCTCATGTGCTCTCTCTCCTCTCATCCTCTCTCTCAAATAAATAGATAAAATCTTAAAAAAAAAAAAAAAGAAAGAAAAAATGGCACGAATAAAACATTTTCACATACAGAAGCTGAAGGAAAGCAGCCTGAACCAGTATCACAGGGCACGAGTCCCTTCAGCCTCATATGGACACAGGCTTGCCACCTGCCCAGCATCCATTCCCCGTTCCTTTCTTCTCCGCACATCTCTTCTGCTCCGTGTAAGCGTAAACTCAGGTGACAGTGTGGCAAGAGACCTTGGCCAGACTGACCCACTGGGCACGTGACACGTCCAAGCCCAAGACTTTCACGGAAGTTTGTGCACCGGCCTGGGCGGAGAGCTGCCCCAGAGGTCAACCCTTCAAAACAGTGCAGATGACGAACTGCAAGTTCTAGGCACCGAGACCCAACTGTGCCTAATCGACACAGCCAGGCTTTCAATTAGGCCTCCTTCCACCAAAGCCGGATTACACTAAGTTTCCCTCACCTGGAATGGACAGAGCACCCGCCCTCCCGTTGCTGGAGCGTCTTCTCGTGCACTTACTAGCGCTACTGCCCCTAGGCTGTGGCCTTGCCTCTCTTTAGCTGTTCCGTGCCTGGGCCCCGAAAGATGTCGGGCACTGGATGTGAATTAAACACAGACCAGCCAGGTGGTACCGACTGAAACGGGGGCTAGATGTCTGCATCTGGCTGGACGCTGAGGCTGCAGGTAACCGGCAGACGTGCAAAGTGGGCAGGCACACACGAGCAACCGGCCCGGGGCCCAAGGGGAGCCACCCCAGCGCGGCTTCCCACTCCTACCGCCTGATTTTCCTCTCGGCTATTACCCCAACAGGCATAACCCCAAGCACACCCATTCCTGCTGGGGTCCAGCTTAGGGTACTGTTTCGGGCTGAAGCGGCGACGGCTCGATGGCAGCCACCCCAACAGCGATTCCCGGGGACATTTACAAACCAAGATCTATGCCGGCTAGTCCTGGAGGAGCCCGCAAGCGCGCCACTAACGGGAGGCCTTTCCGCAGGAGCCCAGCCGTGGGGCCAACCAAACCGCCAAGCTGGCCGGAGGAGCACCCCGGCCCGGAGCCCCGGGCGCCCCGCCGTAACCGACCTCAGGTTCCGCGCACGGAAGCTCCAGGCCGGGCCCCTCGAGCGGCACATCGGGCGGGGACAAGCCC